GAAAAAAATGTTGAGGTATTCTCAAGTACTGTAAAATGACTAATTTTCACTGGGTTTAAATTTCGCTGATTTATCATTTCAGGCATATTCAGTGGAGTTTAAATTCACGGTTTTATCGTCTAGATAATGTGTTCTATGCTCAATTTTTACACTGGGTTTTAATTTAGCGCATTTTCCAGTCAGCGAAATAAGCAAAATTAAAACCCAGTGAATAACTAACCCTTTTACAGTATTGTGCTATATATACTTATAATGATGATCAATTTCAATAAAGTAAGGGTATCTCAATGCACTAACGATGCAACACTCTTAAAGATAAGCATTTCAATATTGAGCTATAAATCTAAAAGATTGAAATTTGAAATTAAATCATTCATTCTTGAGAATGATGTTCCAATATGTACTTCTTACCAATATGTAAAAATCACCAGACTGAGTTGAATTCATACATTTCAGTATATTAATAAGATATCATTAATATTGACTTGTAGGAAATTGAGCGTGTTCTGAAGAATGTTGTAGCCAGGAACTCAGTTCGGCAACATCTGGCATCAAAGAAACATAGTTTTGAATCCTGGAGACATGTGACTGAAGTGATGTTAACAGCGTGCCCATTAGATGTACTGAAACCAGACACAAGACGCGATGTGATTGTGGAGTTGTTACAAGATCTCCTAAGAAAAGTAAGATTTTCAATTTGTATACCCTCATGTTTAAAATGTTTATTATCCCCCCGGCATGTAGTGTCAGGCTGTCCACTGACAAGCACTGTACGTCCAGTCAGTTGAAGCCATAGCTTGAAAATTGACAGGGTGATTCCCTTGAAACTTGCTGTCAGTCATGCTCATACACTTCCAGTACAAACAATCATACATACATACATACATATATACATACTAGTCTGTTCATCTGTCAATCCGTCCATTTGTCCCTTCCTCTATCTGTCTGACCACATGTATGCTTAACTTGAAAACTTCAACACTGATTTTTTGAAACATTTTATGAGTCGCAGTGCTACATTTTGGTGGCAAACAACCTACCTACATGCACCAATCCGTCCGTCTATCTCTCTGACCATATTTTGGTATATAAATTCATACAGTGTAACATGAAAACTGGATAATATATTTTCAAATTCTTTGTCTATGTCAGGTATCCAATCCTGATGCCAGACAGGAACTGGTTGCACCAATAGCAGGTGTCATATTAACATTAATGGTGAATTTACGTCAAAGCATCGTTCATGATCACACTGACACTGGTGCCACAGAGTACATCTCAATGTTAGAAACATCAAATGTTTCTACCTTGGCTAGTCAGAGTGCTATCATGGGATCAGCCACCAGCCTTACAGCGTCTCCATTGGTTGTTGTACTCAGAGGACTCATTGAGTTTATCATGCAGTCAAGTGAGTCAGTGTATCTCAAATTGTTTACTGTAAAATACTTTATTTTCACTTGAAATTAGTTTTCGCTGAAAGGATGATTCAGTGAAAATAAAATCCAGCGAATATAATTTTTTCACTATATTTTACATTCAACTCCTCAAAAATCAGTAAAAATAAATTCCATACTAAACACCAAAAAAATCTTTTCAGCGAAAATAAATTCCAGTTAAAATAAAGTATTTTACAGTACTATAGAAGGGGAATATGTGATTTTCTGTTCAACTGCGAGATCTTGCGAGTTGCTTGAAAGACGTGTACCAAAGGGCTTGTAACTTAAGATTTTCTCCAGCCTGAATGAATAGTTACCTGTGCCGGGCGTACAGGCTGGCAGTAATTTCAAACACTGGATGAAGATTCTACTTCTTGGATTCTGTAGGTGGTGGACAGCAAAGAGTGAGGACCAATCTCTATGGAGCACTTTTGAATTTCTTACAATTGCCGCAGAAACCCAAAGAGATGCCTGGTGTTGATGATGACAGAAGTCCTGTACTGGATTCTGCACAGCTTACCGAGTATGAAAAGCAAATCAAAACCAATATTTCTGTTATTACAAGTTATGGTGAGAACTTCATGGAAATGGTATGCCGTGATAGCTGTGATGGACATGATGTGGGTAAAGTAAGTTATTGTAAAACCCATGTAACCTATTCTAAATTGATATGGGCAAAGTATGTTACCATAACACCCATCTAACCCATTCTAAATCGATATATGGGAAAATATGTAACCCATTCAAAAACGAG